ACTGACACACAGCACTGTCTTTCTTATCTTTTTATGATTATATTACTGTCAGTGTTAAAATTCCTTCATAGTTAACTGTCCTTTGGCGCCAGCAAGACCTCACATTCATTGATCCTACCCCCATTTCACTGCCTCAGCATCCACCACATCCTCTCTTCTCTCTTCACCTAATTTCAATGCCGTGGTCAATCATTTGAGCCATTCCACCCTACACCCACCCTCAGTGCTCCTTCCTTCTCTCACTTCGTCATACTCTTCTGGCCAGAACTGCATCCACGGTCAAACCAAATTCTTTGCCTGATCCGTGTCAGGAGCACTGCACAACCACATGGACCGGTCTCATTTTAAATTTATGATCCAGTGAGTCCTGAATGCTGCTCTGCACACACACAGATGCTCTGCACACCTGTCCCCTTTTCTATCATCCTAGGTGACAGCTTCATGCCCGTTCCTCACACCTCGAACATGTCTTCCATAATCCAGGACCTTCTCACTGAAGACCTTGCCTTCTGCCTCACTGAGAAAATGGAAGCGTTCAGAGGAGAATTCCCATCACTCCATGACCACATCTGCCCTTCCACCTACATCTGCACCCTCATACCTGGCTTTCTGCCTTGGTGGCAGAGATGATCTTCCACTGGGTTTTATTCCCTGTGCCCTAATGACTTTATTTTTGCACTCGATCCTATTTTCATTGCCCACTCACAGACCTTCCTCTAGAAATTCCTTATTTCCCCGTCCCACCTCCCACCATCATTAATTTCCACTCTTTCCTGGAACATTTTCTTAGCATTCAGTCCTGCTCTTATTTCTTTCACCTTAAAACAAAAAATACAACTTCTCTTGTCTCAGCTTTACCTGCAGCTACTGCTCTGTTTCTCTGCTTCTGATTGTAGCCGAATTACTCAACAAGGGTCACCTGTCCCTGCTATTTCTAGTCTCTGTCCTCTCAATTGCTCTTAAACCCCTGCCCCCCGTAAAGCTTTTGCTCTCACCACTCCACTAAAACTCCACCATGGATCTCATCAATAACCTGTATATTCCTAATCTGATGCCTGCTTAATCCCCATGTCACTTGGCCTTGCAGTAGGGTATGGCATTCTTGAGGACACCCTTCTTCTTGACACATTGTCTTCACTTGGCTTCCAGGATGCCCACTTCTCTTAGTCTTCCCTTGCTGGCACCTCCTCTTGTATTAGACCTTCTTACTATTCATCCAGTCTCTCTTGATGGCTTGGATTTAATGGTCATCTCTACACTATGACACCCAGTTGATATCTCTGGCCTAGACCTCAATGTTCCACTTGGATATCTAGGACCCTCAAACTTAACTTGTCTTCTAAATCTTTTACCTAAAATTCGGTACAGCTGCACCCTCACCTGTTTCAGTTGATGACCACTCTTCAGGTTGGTGAGCCCCCAAATCTTCGAGTCATCCTCTTTTCCCCCTCTTCCTCACATTCCCACATTCAGTCCATCCAGAAGTCCTTCTGGCTTAAAATATCCAGTGTTGGCCACTTCTCAGCATCACTGATGGTGACTGGTACCAGGAACATGCCTGTCCTAACCACCATCACCTCCCACTGGAATTGCTCCAGTAGTTCTAGTTGGCCTCCCTGTTTCCACCCTGCCTCCCAGCCTTAAAGTCTGTTCTTAATACAATAGCCAGAACAATCCTTTCTTAGACATAAATCAGACCATAGTATTAACTCAATAATAAGCCTCAACACTCATAACCTTATTCAAGGGGAGAAAAAAACCCCAAAGGCTTTAAAATGCCTTCAAGGTGCTGTGATTCCCATCTCCCTTTCTCATTTTATTTCTACCCCTGCTGTTCCTTGAACGTGACGTTGTGTCTTAGCTTTGCTAGTTCCCTCTGCCTGGAACACCATTTCTCAAAATATCCATCTTGCTGGTTTCCTCAATTTCTTTTATGTTATTGCTCAAAGGACATTTTCTCAGCATCTCAGAGACCCACCCTGAAAACTACAAACCCCTGCTTCTCAATTTCCGGGGACCTACAATCCCCCTTGTGCTGCTCCATTTTTTCCCCCAATAGAAATCATCTTATAGCTTAGCACATAACGTATCTATTCTCTGTTTTGCTTGTGGTTTCTTCCCCCATTAGAATGTAAGCTTCACAAAGGGTAGGGGTTCTGTGCTGCTTGTCTAGCGCATAGTAGGTGGTCAGTTGAATAGATTTCCCCTGCTTTCAGCATCATTTCCCTCCCCTTGCTTCTCAGTCAATAATGGTTCTGTTTCCCACAGTTAACTTGGACTCTCTCCATTTTAGGGGATATTAATTTGATATCCTTGAGATATCTCCCCTGCATTTACCTTTTTAATCATATCTCCCTTTTGTCCATTTTTTTCCCTTTTACTTGTTCTGTCTGGTAAGCTAATTTTAGGCATATGGATTTAATTTTCTGGTCTTCAAGTCTTATACCTTTTCTTATCTTTGGTCCTTTCTTGGCTATATTTCTATTTCTAGAACATTTTTTTTTCTCTGCCCTAGTTCTCCAAGACTTTCATTCTTAAGAACTAGTTCCAGAAGTCTTGCTTTTCCCTGGAAAGGTTTCCCATGAAAAACTGTAGTCCTGATTTCCACTTGCTACCAGCCATCCCCTCCATCGACCCGACAGGAAACCCTGATCACCAAGATTTGGATTCACGCTTCACTCAACCTTCTACTGAAGTGCAGCTTCCCTTTGACTTAAAGCTGGTCGGCAGTTACTTGGTGTAACAGATCTGTATACCGTCCTTTGTTTATTTTCAATATCCTTTTTTATCTTCTATTTTAGAAAACTGCACGAATATTTGTGTATACATTTATATACGCTATGTATTGAATTATTTTCTATTGAATTCGGTTTTTGCTGAAAGCAAGCAATTTCTAGATCTTTCTCTATGGGGTGTCTAACATTGTTTCCTATTTTCTCTTTAACAGGTCATTGCTTTAGTGATGGATATATTCACAGATGTGGACATTTTCAAAGAAATAGTGGAGGCATCAACTCGAGGGATCTCTGTATACATTCTGCTTGATGAGTCCAACTTTAATCATTTCCTAAGTATGACTGAGAAACAGGGCTGTCAAGTTCAGCGACTCAGGGTAAGAATTTCCTGGGGTTTTTTTGTTTTTTTTCCCAAGGATCTTATCTCAGTCCAATCTAGGGCATGTGAAGCTATGTTACTGCAAATATATATCGGATACTTAAGGTGATCCCAGAAATGTCCCCTTGTACCTTTTGGAATGTGACCTCACCATCTTTATGATGGTTTTACACGATGCTTTACTTGATGGTGGGGCACTTAAGCTTCTGAATCAACTTTGCTGCTGGTCATAATTAATGCTTCGGTTTTGCATGTCCAGCCTTGAAGCCGCTGGCTTGAGTGATTCTTTCATTCAGCGGGCATGACTCACTGCAATCATCTGGCACAGTGTTTTCAGTTACATCTGAGTCTTTTAAAGGAGGCTGGATTATTTTGACATCGGGCGACTAAAACCTGCAAGAACTTCTTGCAGTAGGATCCTAAGTGACTTACAAATCCATTCTGTGTAAATGTAAAGTAGTATTTCCTATTTAAGGTATGTTAAAATACATATGTAAGTCACTGTTTTCCTTGAGTACTACTTTTTTGGGTGGTGTTTTAAAATTCGCCCTTCACTATGTTGTTGTTGTCGTTGCCTGGTTTTAAAAACTATTTCATGTATACTTTTTGGTGACTAATTTTTTTATATTGACACATATCTTGCTTCTCAGAATATCCCCTTTCTAGCCATAATTTTGACTTTGTATTTACATACTGTTCTAGAACATTCGAGTGCGGACAGTAAAAGGCCAAGATTATCTTTCAAAAACTGGAGCAAAATTTCATGGAAAACTGGAACAGAAATTTTTGCTCATTGACTGCCAGAAAGTTATGTACGGTTCCTACAGGTAAGATCATGGCGTTGACGTCCAGCATCACCAGTCATTTCTAGAATTTTTTAGTTTCAAATTTTGATGTCATCTGTTTAGTTATTTCTTACAAAATAAAAGAAAAACCCTTGCATGGAAGCTTGGAGCCTAGAGTTTCAGTTGTGGCTGTGGCTGTGAAGAACATTAAGTCATTGGACAAGTCACAGAACTTCCTGGGGCTTCAAGTTCTTCCTCCCAAAATAAGGGAGTTGACTAATATCTCAGCTTTCCTACAGCTCTAAAATGCAAGAAGTGTTGCTGTTCCTTATGAAAGCAGTATGAACCATAATAATTGTTCATAAAAATAGAAGTGGTTTATCACCTTGAAGAACCAGTCTAATGGACTACTCTGATTTATTATTATTAAGGATCTGATAATTATCAGATTGTCATCATGGTACTGCTGAAAAACCATTTAAGAGTCCAACTGTTAAAAATGCCATGGTGGACAGTAGACAAGGTTATTCAGCCCCAGATCTACTCTCTGGCATCTTTCCAAGCCACCCCGGCTGGCATGTATCCATTCTCCTCTAGCTTGGCTCTTAGGTTTCATTCCCAGACTCTTACCCCTTATTGGACTGATCTGCAAGGCAGTTGTTTTTATCGCCATTTGATAAGTGATGAAACTTAAGTTCCAGAGGCTTTAGTCACTTGTCCAAGACATCACAGCTAACAGCCAGAGGCAGTCCAGGACTGGCGCAGTCTGGGTCCAGCTGGCTCCAAAGTATGATGCAGCCCCAATTCTCCCTTATCCATTCCAGGCATCAATCCTGAATGGAACACACAGTAGGGCTATATCAACAGGCAGCCAATAACACCAATAAACATGTGAACCGCTGGGTCATCAGAGCAGAGCAGACTCACCACTAAAGACAGTGGGAAGAGATGTGGATGTGAACAGGATGTGAAGGGGAACTCTGGCCTCTTCTCTTAAGAACTTAAAAAGCCCACAAGAAGGAGGCAACACGTTGAAGGCGCTGGTCGTGGGCGAGTTACCTAACTTGGCTGCACTTGAGATTGCTCCTCTGTAAAAGGAACCTAATCATCCATCTTACCTCGTGTCCTTGTCGTGCGAATGAAGTGTCAGAGGCTACGTTTTAGCTGAAAACATCAGCTCACTTTCCCTTCAAGCTCCGGACCCTTTTCTGAACATCCTTTTTTGGAGTTTTAAAGGAGAGCTTGTTTGGAGCAGAAATTACAACTCGTGCTCGAAGTGAATGAGCTCTTTTAAAGACTCATTATATGTGTGTCTATTTGTTCAGACCCACTTGGTTTTAGAGATGTTTTCACTGCAAGTTTAATTAAAACGGGAGCTCACTTGACTTACTGGATGGTGTTTATTAGTTTAAGCTCATCATGATGAGTGCTTTCTAGGTTGATTATTTAACTTGACTTCTAAGATGATCTTCAACAATAAATTCATGCCGACTTTGTTTTGCTATCACTGGGTATTAGCAGGTGCTGTCTGTTTAGGTGCCTGTAACAGGGCTACTTGAAGACTGGTGCTGGGAAAAACAAAGAAGCAAACAAACGAACAGCAACAAAAACTCTTTATCTTTCTATCTAGATCATAAGCCAGAGGCAAAATGTGAGTCATTATTTATGAAAGTGAATACGGCTTTCCTAGGACCTCAGATGATTAAAATGCATCAAAACGATGGTCTAACGACTCTACCTTCCTTATTATTTCATGTTAATTTCAAATAGATTTCTTTAAATTAATTGAGGGTTGTCAGCCCTTGTCATTTTTGTCTTTTTCTGACTGATTATCAGGGACCTTTTTTTATTGTTAACAAATGTCATAACAGGAGCTGGTGGAACCGTTGTGACCCCGTCTTTGTAGAAACTGGTTCAAATTTTACTTCCTTTTGGTTGAGAATAGCCTTCATCTCTCCTATTCTGTTATTGCAATTGCTTTATCCGTAGGCAGATTCAGAATGCCACCTTCTTTTTTCTTCCCCCCCACGTTTGGTATCCCCTTTATTGAGGTGTAATTGGCATACAATAAACTACACCTATTTAATGAGTGCAGTTTGGTAAGTTTTGACCAATGAAACCATGATCACCATCTAGATGATAACCACAGGCATTTCCCACCCCACAAGTTTTCTCTGTCACTTTGCGATGCCTCCCTCTGCCTCCACCCTTTCTTGCACCTGCTGACAATGGCTGATCTGCTCAGAGCGCCTTCTTCTTTACTTCAGATTTCTGTGCCATAAAATGTCTTCATATTCTAAACTCCCAGCATTGCTAGAAAGGTCTGCTGTCTGTTTTCACCACGTCACACACAGTGATAGCTCAAGCATCCTAAAGACAGCTTTATTCAGAAAACACAACAGGTGTTTTGTCACTTCCTGATACTAACAATGAAGGGATAAAAACACATACATTTCTGTCAATGTGTGTAAGTCAAATTTTGAATTGGATATCCGCATTTGAAATTGTCATATGAAAACCTGGAAGATATTTAGTGAAGTATTGACCACACATTTGACTGAGAGAGACTGTGATAAGCTTATTTTTTTTAAACCTTGTGCTCTCTCTGCTTTGCTTTCCAGATTTCCTCTACTAGTTCATTAAACTCCTCTATAGCTTCTGACTTCCACTAAACATAATTGGTTTTCTGAGTTCAGCCAAAACATGGCCATCATTGCTTCCTTCCTTTTCCCATGTGTTTCTTCTTCCACGCAAATTGTCCTCCCACACTTCTCAAGTCTGAACTTCTGGGTAGCTAGTCTCTGTCAAAATCCTGCTAAACTCTCACTGTCTTTGGGGCTGTTCTCATCTTTGATAGTTGATTCTTCATCCTTTAGTTGTTTCTAACAAATCTGGCGCTCACAGCTTCAGTTGGGTTGAAAATTCCTCTAGCAATTCACTTGTGTACCATTTCTTTAAAGTCGCCCTGGTGACCCACACATCCATGCATAAAGAGTACCTAGAAATATCCTTCTTGGACCATGCATTCAGTAAGCATTCTAGAAAAAACTGAAGCATCTCAGAATAAGAAGATTCTGAAGTTGTATGTACTTTAGATTACTACGCTGCACATTAAAAAAAAAAATTTTCCATCTGCCTTTGTGTCTTCCCTGCATAAACAGTAAGCTCCTTCATGATGGAGAATGTCTCTGCCTCCTTTTTCTTTAAGATTCACCTCTGTTATGTCAAGTACACTATTTGAGATATCGCATATTAGCAATTGCTTTCTCAGCTCAGTGGCTCTGTATGTTATAGTCTCAAGATTTTCTAAAATAAGATTTAAAATTATACATGGAGCTTCAAGATAACTGTCACCTCTAAACTCTTAGGAAACAGATTAGAAGTTCCACAAAGCACTAGAAAGTCATGATAAACTTCAGTTTCCTGGAAATGGTATTCTGTGCGGAAAGATCTTAATTGGCATTCTGACTGGCGCGGACTGTGAGCACTCAATTTACTGTGTACACTGAGTGAAGTGAGGTATGACCTTTAGAGGTGGAGGCTGCTGCCGACAGATCCTGTCTCTGTTTACAACCCCCGGCAGCCGGAACTACACTCACACGTAAGCCGCAGGGATGAGACACGTGCATTGGCACAGACTGCCTTGCAGCGTGACATGTTAGGACCGACCACAAGGAACTGGAGCAACCATGCTGTTGGTATCCTCATTCTGGACATGAGGAAACTGAGGTCCGGGCTGGTGTGGAATTGACAGCTCTGCAGAAGTCAAGTCTCCCAACTTTTCCTCTGATACTAGCTTGCCCTGCACCCTGCCAAGATGCTGTATATCAAATGTCATTTTTTTCACTCCATAAAATCTTAGGAGGCAGAGAGTCAAAATATACAGCAGACTTTTCTTTACTTTTCTGGAAAGTAGAGTAAGAAATTACGAATGGATTCAAAGCCAGGACTTGAGTTGCTTTGTCATTTAAAATATAGCTGTGGAGGTGGGGAGATATATGCATTGCAAGGAAGACTGAAGATGTTCTAAATTATGGTAGCCAAGGAAAATCAACAAAAAATATTCTTTTGTTAACCTTAAATGGCACATTGTTCTTAGTAACCATATATTGTAGCCATATATTGTCAGCAAAATTTAAATGTGCCTTTTTTTTTTTTTTTTTGCAGCTACATGTGGTCATTTGAAAAAGCTCACCTCAGCATGGTTCAGATAATCACAGGGCAACTTGTGGAGTGCTTTGATGAAGAGTTTAGGACTCTGTATGCCAGGTCCTGCGTCCCCAGTCCGTTTGCTCAGGAGGAGTCAGCAAGGGTGAAACAGAGCAAAGCGCTCTGGGAGAATGGTACTTACCAGCGTTCAGTGTCTTCCTTGGCTTCCGTTTCCAGCCAAAGAAACCTTTTCGGTAGACAAGACAAAATCCACAAACTCGATTCTAGTTACTTCAAAAACAGAGGCATCTATACTCTCAATGAGCACGACAAATACCATAACATAAGAAATCATGGCTACAAACCTCACTTCGTGCCAAACTTTAACGGTCCAAATCCAGTCGGCCAGCATCGACCCAACCAGATGATCAGTGAGAACTGGAAGAGGCACAGCTACGCGGGGGAGCAGCCAGAAGCGGCGCCGTACCTGCTGCTGAACAGGGCG